AGGACCAGTATAAACACTTGAATATGTTTTGCTATGAAAGTGCAAAATAAAACTAGTAAACATGTGTGATATGGTCCACATAATTATGTTACTACGCCGGCATTCTAGCCACGATGGGTGGCGCCGGTTGGCACCACCCGGTACTGTAAATTTCAGCCCAGCCCTTGGGTTCAAATTGGCTGTGCCGCCCAGCATGGATTTTCCAAATGATTAACTGAAATATTGCTAAAAATGTACCAATTTGATCATATTTCCAGCTTGCAAAGTTGCAGTTTTGCACTATTTTACAATTTTAACAAGTAAGTAAAGACCTAAAAAATGTGTTTCTCACAAATCAGCGGCTGATTGCAAAAGCATTATTGTAAACATGCATTCAGTACGGGGAAATCCCTTCTGGTATTCCCCTAAAAACCCAGCTACGGGCTATGAGAGTTCTGCTCACTATGCTTGATAATCCAAAAATTTACCTGGCACTAAAATGGTCCTAGCTAGAACACTGTACTACGCACGTATAAATCAACAAACTTCAGATACAGAAATACCAAAAGCACAATGGAGTAAAAGTACATGTACAGTGTATGTGTTCGAGAATAATGGTTTTAAGAAATTGGGAGTTATATATATTTGTGACGCAGATAATTTTTTACAGGTCTTGTTATGCTCCAGCTAGCTGTGCGCATGTTCAGGAATGAACACAATATTTAACAAGGTGTAGAATGATATTGTCATTCTCCTATATATGTGATAATGAAGTAGACTGAAGTAATGGCCTTGGTGCCCGTCAGCAGAATGATTTACTAATTACGTGATGGTACAACCACAACTTTAAAACAGTGACACCAGTACTGATGTTGGCCTATTGTAGCCCCTTCAAAGAAATGCACGTGTAAGAATACATAAACTGTGCAGGAAATAATTATTTGGGCTTATCATTTTAAAGAATATCAACTTCAGCAAGTTTACTTATGCCATAAACTTTCATAGCTTTTTGCCTTTCTATTTTTCTCCTTTTGCTTTGTATTCTTCATACATCACTGGGCTTTCTTCCTTCAGTTTGTTTAAATACACAGTTATCCTGCAAGGCCCCGTCTTCTGACATTTCTCTCTCTTCCTGAGGTCCCAGTTAAATTTAATTTGTAGTTTCACTGCCATGTCAAAGTTGCATGTTTAACAGAGCACTTTTGGCTCATACATGTACTGTACATTCGGTGTCTACAGTGTGTATGACTTCAGGCACGGATTGCAACCATTTAAAAGCATGGCTCCATGCATACATGGTGAAAGCTATACTGTAGGATGCTTTAGAAATGTAAACAATTAAAACAACAGAAGAGTGATCAGCACATGATCCGTGCATAATAAGCTGAATTTTTTCATTTTTCATAGGTGAAGCCACAGAGCGCTATGATAAAACCAATGAAATGGCTGTGAACACTGAGTGTAATGCTTAAAACTCATGTAGGTAAATGGTTTTAAACTTGTTTAAAAAAGTGTCGTTTCCTGAACACTCTAATAACCAAAAACTTGTCTGAAACAGTAAATCATACTGAAATTAGGACAAACTGATGCATTACTTTTGTGAATTTGCCTGTATGAAACTGTAAATCAGCCAATTTCTGATAAATATTGAATTAAGTGTGAATTAGATGGATAATTGATATGGGCATATATTACCCATATTATGTGGACATAATACTCAAGTAAATGACCCCCAAAACAAAATACCAGCATTTTGGGGTCAATTAATTGGTTTTAATTTTAAAACACAAACTTTACAGCCAATACAACCATACACTTCATCAAATTTAAGCAACAGTGGCTTAACTGGGTACTCTGTTGAACTAAATGTTTGGGGAAAAAAATGAAGTTTAACGACAATGCCATGACAGCAAGCACAGTTCAAGTCCAATTTCTTCTATAGTCTGTTTGATCTTGTAAGTCTATGCCAAGCTACCAGTTAATGCCCCAAAAACAATTTTTCAGACTTTCTGCAAATCATGGGATGCCATGTTCTGGAAAGGACGTTTTAACTAACATTTGCATAGCATATTCATGAGCATTTATATCTTATTTACTTGTGATCACTGCAGTACAATATTTCTATATCAGGTTATTACAGTGTGTGGTGTTGAGTTACATTTCATTTCTTTCCATTCTGGAAGAAACACCATATTCAGAAGAGGACATTTTGAAAAACCATTTAAGTAACAAACCCATGTCTCACTCAAAACAGTGTAAAAAAATAGTCAATCAATTCCAATGAAATTTGGTATACTCTTTCTCGGAACATATCTCAATGTCCACACGAAACCAGGCAGTTCTACTTCTATTTTATTTTATTTCACATCAGTTGTAGTTTCTAGAAAAATTGAATGAGACTCCAAATCTTGTGTTTTATCACCTGTTTTAGTTCATATCTTGAAAACCATAATGCGTAAAGCCTTGAAAATTTGTTGGAGATTGCAACAATGTAAAACTCCATGTGAGACAAAAAGCATTAAGTTTCAGCAAACTTTTCCAATAAAAAAACACATCAATATCAAATTTTTCATTTTGCAACCTTTCCCGTGAAACTGCCCAGAAGACAACTTAAGAAAGCACTCAATGCATCTGACTCTGAATTGTCACTAATAAAATTATAAGGGAAGGATTCTAACATTCAAGTACACTGAATTACATAAAAGCCTGTACAATCAAAATTTACTTTTCCTTTTGTGTAATTTTCAATTCTAGCTGACCACGCACGCAATTTCTCTTCTACAAATCTGGCCCTCTCTGCGACCAGGATTCCTAATGTTAATCTATACCCCAGGGAAGGTTTCCTTATCTGTGATGATCATCAAGTGAGCAAATTTGGTCAAAAAGGGGTCATGTTGAACCCACAGATAAGTGGCTGCAGACTTAATTAGGCCTCTTAAAATGCACGTCGGCGGGAATGAAAATGAAATAAAATGTAGGGCTCTTAAAACAAAATTAATTGTTTTGTTTGTGGACTTTTTACAAGGTGTCTGTGGGTGATTACACAGCAGCTCAAATGTTAAAAAAATAAAAACAGTCTTGATTTATAGAGCTAGACGTAAAATAAGCTACCAAAATTTCTTAATATCGCTTGTGTCCAACAACTTGTGAAAACTCACAAAGGCATTTAATGTGTATGAAATGGACCATGGAGGAATGTTTTTCTTCCTCCATGAATAGACAAAACATCAATATGGTTGCCTAAAAGACATTTTGGAGTAATCTCTACAGAGATCATTTTATTCAAGTTGAAGAAGCGTTCTGACAGCGAAATTTAGTGCATACCTTTATCTGCCTTCTCAATTATGAAGCAGAACTCTGACGGTGAAGTTTAGTGCACACTCTGACCTGCTCTCCCAATAAGGGACAGAAGTCCGACAACGAAGTTCAGTACATACTTTGATTTGTCCTCCCAATAAAGGGGCAGAATTCCGACAACAAAGTTTTGTGTGTACTGTGATCTGCCCTTCCAATAAGGGGGAAAATTCTGACAACGAAGTTTAGTGTGTACTATGATCCATCCTCCCATTAAGGGGGCAGAATTCCGTCAACAAAGTTCAGTAGATACTTTGATTTGCCCTCCCAATAAAAGGCCAGAATTCTGACATTGAAATTTTGTGCGTACTATGATCCACCCTCCCAATAAGAGGGCAGAATTCCAACAACAAATTAAGTGTATATACTGATCCACTCTCCAAATAAAGAGGTAGAATTCAGACAACAAAGTTCAGTACATACTTTGATCCGCCCTCCCAATAAGGGGTCAGAATTCTGACAACAGGGCAGAATTTGGACTATAAAGTTACTGTACTTTGATACTTCATTCACGTACCCAATGTATTTGGCAACATCAGCACCATCTACGTCTGCGAGAAAATAAAGTCTGACTTTAACTTCGTGATCAATTACCTACGAGATTCATTGAGGATTTGTGAATGAATAAAGTCACAATGTGAACACAGGCAATTAAGCATCATTTTTTCGTATGCTTCAGTTTAATTTTATGATAAATTGCTTGAAATGCCTTCTATGGCATAGTATTATTCATGCATTTGCAGGGCAGCTTTTATGCATGGGTGCTGAGTAAGTAGTGACCCACACGAACGACTCCACAACTCAAAGATTTAATATAACTTGGGTGTTTGAGCACTGATTTGACCAATTAAAAGGGGAAAATGTGGTTTCACAACTGGTCAAAATAGAATGCTACTCTAGTTTTGAGCAAACTATGAAACTGGACGTACGTTGAGAAAACTTTAGGCAAAGCCCACTCGCCACCCGGTCAAGCCAAGATCAACCCCGTCTGTGGTTTTGTGCCAAGCTTGTAACAAAATACCATGAGGGCCATAACAGTAGCTGAAGAGATCCTCAGAATCCTGGTCCAATCTGCCAGAAAACCCGAGTTCAGGCTGCTGAACTCAGGTTCTCTGGTAAATGAGAGAATTCACCTCTGTCACCTCTGATTAAGATGTTGCATATGCACCGTGCTTAAGGCACGTACATGCTCTCTGTCTGTGACTGTTTGGTCTGCACTGTGTCACATTCATCACCCAGGGGTATGTGAGCCAGTGAAAGTACCAGTGAGGCCCAGGCCCTTAAACTGCTTGGGAGATGGCTCGGCCGAAGAGGGAGCCCTTCTGTGACACTGTGTGGCTGGACGGTTACAGGTGTGGTTTCCCAACCGCACACTATGGCTGTCATCATTCTTTCCTATTTTTCTCAGTTCAGGCACACAGGGCATATAGTCTGCCATAAGTGCCGACCAAAACCTATACCACCACCACCATCATCTTAGGTTGATTCTAGCAATAGAGTTTGGAAAGAGCACATCTGTTGTGGAAGGCGTGGTTCTCAGCAACCCACAGATTTGGAGACGGCACACTTGTACACTTTTCTTATGTGAAGAAAATATTACTCATAGATCAAATGAGTCTGAAAATTAAGACCATAAAAGAGTTCTTCAACAGAACAAGAACCCTTACCACAGATATCCATCAATAGGTGATTCAAACTCTCTCAAATTCCCCTCTGATGAACATTGCTGACTAAGTGGGTGTTGTGGGTGTGCATGACAGAACACATGTAGAATCTTTGTCAGAACTGCAACTTCACATTGGAAACTCTATACAAAGAAAATGTTAGAATTAAATCAAAGTTACTAAACAATAAAAAAGATTAATCTTCATGTCCATGAAAAGACTCACTGCTTAAAATTAACTAAAGGAAAAATAAGCTAAACTGATTAAATCATCTAAGAGTTTGATAGAATAAAACAAACTGATGAAGTATTAAAATTTGGCTCCATTTTTGTTAGGCGTGGAATCAAAAATACTGTTCGCACGCGTGCCAATGCCAGGAATGTACTCTTTTGTTCAAGCTACCTCCACTTTGCACGCATGAGAACAGCCGTCCCTCTACAACAAAAGACCTGTCACGGTCTGTGCACAATGGTCAGGTACTTTGAGGACAAACGTAAATAAAAAAAAGAAAGTATTTATGGACGACCCGTTTTTGTGGGATTAATTAACTGGCCATTCATTATTGTTCAGACCAAGACAAAAATAAAAGTAGCAAGGGAGTAAAATCAGGAGAGTATCCAAATAATATCTCTGAGGAGCTTTCGTCCAACCAAAGATTGATAGCTGACTGACCACAATGGTATTACAACTGTTCCAGCAGACTGGGTTGCGTCTTCTGACTGACAGCTCGCCTTGGTATTGCTTTATCCAAACTGTGGGCCACACATGGCTTTTGTTTTCGTAGTTAAAAACACTGATTCTTCCCTCTTTGGCATTTTCTATCAAAACCTAGACCCTGTGTGGTTTTTAATTTTTTCCCGGCACTGAGGCATTTTTTATTCAGAGCACCCAACCCGCTAAAATACATGTTTATCAATTCTTTCCTCCTTAGCATTTCTTTTCCTAACATCCAAACCGCCAAATATATTAACACTTCCCTCCTTGGCATTTTCTATTCTAACCTAAACCATGTGTTGTTTTTTTTATTTTTAACTTACACAACCCCCCAATTATTTTATTCGGAGCAACCAACCCGCCAAAAATATTAATTCTTCCCTCCTCGGCATTTCTTTTCTATCCACACCTAGACCACTTGTGGTTTTTATTTTTTCCAAGCACCACTACATTTTTTTACTCAGGGCATCCATCCCAACCCATGAAAATATATTAATTCTTTCCTCCTTGGCGTTTATTTTCTGACCAAACCAAGACCACAAATGGTTTTTATTTTTTTCCTGTTGCTGTGCACATTTTTTTCCTTATTCCGAGCACTCAACCAGTCAAATATATTAATTCTTTCCTCCTCAGCGGTTTCAAACTGGGACATTTTAAGCAAGAATGTATAAATGTGCGAAGTCGGTACATCAAAGGGACAGCATGAGCGTTTATAAGTGGGAGGATGAAAATCTTATCAGACCAAACACAGTTGACACTTATTTAGCCAACTGACTCAAGAACATTTTGTATGCATGTTCTTCGCATCTTTGTTGTGATGCTGCCGTTCTTGCACTGAATCACTCATGCAAGAGAAGGGGCAGGAACACATTCGGAAGTGCCCTTTAGAACGGGAGTGAACAGAAGGGCATGGAGAATGGAAGGGGACATGTGCGTACGGTCTCTGTATTTTTAATCCCGTCCCTTATCGGATAGTGCACTCGAAAAAGCTGTGTTTTTTTCCTGAAGAGGTGAAAGCTTAATTGTGAATGTTCACTAATCTTCACTTTCTATTCTAAATTGTCAGAGTTAAATGATGTTCAACTACTGTACACAATTTCAAGAGCAAAAAAGCTTTTGTTCATTACAGCTGAGCAAGATTTGTCAAATGGCAGCTTCCTGTACGTAACCATTCGTATAAGACTCTTTTCTCCCAAGTGACCTGACATTCAGGACTTATTTCTTAAAATTTCCATTGAGGAGCAGCACTCATTACATCATCAAACCTCCCACCCCAGTACTAATGAAGTGGCTGCTGCTTTTTTAGTCACACGAACCAACACACAGGCCAATGTTACCTAGAAATTTTGCTATAAGTTCTACCATTACAAATGTAAAATCACAGATCCAAACAATATTCACAGGTTTTATAATCAGCAAAATCAGAAAGAAATTAGACAATACGAAAATAACATTTTCACTTCAAATTCCATTCCAAATTAATTACTGGTTATTCAGTGAAAAAGATTGCTGAAAAAAAAAGAAAGAAATGAAATCATTAATAGCAACTTCAATTTCAAAAAACTACACGATGAGCTTGTACCTACTTACACAGATTAGAGTACGTCATGCTCATTGCTTTTACAGTAATTACCAAACTTCTTACCTCAGAAAGTGTGTCAGAAAAACATATTTGTGTTGTCATGATGATTTCCAGGGTAACCACTGTAAGTTTATCAACTGCTGTACGACCCAGCAAAGAAAGAGCAACGCCACACCATTTCTGTAAGCCTCCTGTGACTGCTGCAATGATAGGTAATGTTATCCCATGGTATGTGTCCGGATCCTACCCAAGAAAAAAAAAAGGCATTATTTTGTGTATTCTGGGATACTTTCAATTTGTCAGTAGCATCAAGAAGTGATAAATAGGACAGTTTTAACGATGGAAGAAGTGCACTGACTTTGGGCACATGCACATTGTAGCATTGGCACCAGATGACCGGTTGGGGTGCCAGCATGGATCCACAGTAGAGCTGGGTGGTGGGCCCCTACTGGCCAGCCTGGGAGACCGGTTGCCACAGCGCCCGTGCAGAAGTGTTGTTTGAAGCACATTGTTTTGAAGTGTTTTTCTGTCTGGAGCTAATGTAAGAAAAGTCTGCAAAAAAAATAAACGGCCTAGAGCCCACAAAAACCTGAGGGAAAGCTTTACAGTGTTGTTTGTAAGTGTGGTTATACCCAGCAGAAGCAGTCAATGTTTAAGGGTTGCAGTGGCTGCATGCTGACGAAGAGAACAGGTGAAATTCTAGCTCGAATTTTGTCACGAATTTTTCAGTGCATGGTAGTCTGGCATTTGACTCGCCACACAGCAGGGATGCAGGAGGGATGCAGAGAGGTGCCAACCTCTCGGACTGTAGACCAGCCTTGTGGAATTCATAGTAAATCTAGTCTTATGATAGATGAACTTGAACCCTTTTTCCAGGACGAGTTGAGAAGATTTGGTAATGAGGGAAGCGTAGACAGGACTAAAAGTGACTGTGGTGGGCCAGTGCAGACAGTTAACTTTCTCCCCATGTTGTGTTCCAGTCAACACTACATGTGCCCATTTCCCGCAGCGAGCTCCACGTGCTGTAGTCAGTGGTACCACTGACATGCCTTTTCAGTCGGATTGCGGTTGGTTTGTGCCTGACGATGCGGTAGGGGAGGGATCTGGTGTGGGAGCAGCCGGCGGGTCTAGTCCCAGTACATCTGTTAACGGTCTGCATGGGGCATGCCCCTATACTGCAGACGATGGCATTCAGAACGGCCTCGGGTTGTGCCTGACAGGGCAGTGGTGGGCAGGGCTTCACTCCAAGACACCTTACAAGTTTGTCAACAATGTAGTACAGCAAAAGCTTTCCGGGGAGCACTCCCTTGCTGTGGATAACGATGTGTTATGCCTGTCAGAGCAGCCGGGGTGGGGCCTCACTCGGAAACGCCCTGCAAATCCTATGCCAATGACATACAGACAGAGCTCATCAGAAAAGTTTCCCCCACTCGCAAGGTAGACCACAATGGTCACCCCATCTCACTTGGAACCGGATGGAGTTGCTTGTTGTTTGGCAATTGGGACTCACAGCAACAATTACATCCCATGGTTGAGCCTTCTTTGATGTTGAATCCTGATTACAAGTTTGACAGGGCACACAGCGAACAGGTTTATTCAACAGAGATGATCTGCACAGAAGTGAAACGAGCCCAGCATTTCTCGCACAAGTCAGCAGTGTGGAGCCAATAGAGGTGCTCCACAGAGGAGTGAATGGAGCCCAGTGGCTCCTCACACAGGTCATTGGTGTGGAGCCGGTTGAGGTGCTCAGCATGGAAGTGAATGGAGCCTGGCGGCTCCTCTCACAAGTCAATGGTATGGAGACAGCTGAGGTGCTCTGCATGGGAGTGAATGGAACTCACACAAGTCAATGGTGTTACACAAGTCAATGGTGGGTAGAGACAGAAGTAGACGGGATGGGCCAGGCATGGCTGCTAGGCCTCCACGCTAGGAGTACATTGCTGCAAACAGTTAAACATGAGGCTCTCGGGACCAATTCTCAGAATATGGTGGGTCGAAAACAAATGATGCTCCCAGGTAAGTTCGATGGAACCTCCTCATGGTCAGATTACCATATCCACTTTTAAAGTGTGGCAGCAATTAATCATTGGAGTGACGCAGAGAAGGCAATGTTATGGCATCTCACTTCAGAGGCGCAGCACAAAAGGTCCTGCCAGATATGATACCAGAAACACGGAAGGACAATTCAATTTTAGGGGCCTCTGAGCAGCGGTTTGGGACAGCAGCTCAGCATCGGGCTGAACTATCGATGAGGGTGCATGGCCGTAAGGAGTCACTGAGCAGTTTTGGGGCAGTCAGTTTGATGCTTGGTTGCTAAAAGCTACTCAAAGCTCCCTGCGTTGGCTCATGAGGACTTGGCTGTGGAGACTTTCCATAATGCCCTTGACAACGACCAATTGCAGAGTCATATCTTTCAAGGAGGGCAACCACTCTGATGAAGGCAATCACCCTTGTGACCGGGATGGAAGCATTTCTCGATTCCTGGGTGCACAAAACGAGAGGAAAACCTGGGACAAAGGACATTAGAGCAGTGCACCAGCATCCCAAAACTCCTGTGAAGGACCAGAGACCAGCCACAGTTGTGGTATTTTTTAAGGACACAGACCACAGGATGGAGTGCCATGGGTGTTATGAATTCAGACACATTTGACAAAACTGCCCAAACCAGAAAAAGTGGCCAGCCATCCCCAACTGAAAGAACCAAAACCAGCCAGAGAGACTGAACTTGGCCCCTTCAACATCCGCCATGAAAATGGCTGATGGGAATTCGATGTCAGGTAAGGGGATGACCAACATCAAGCTGAAAGTTGGAAACCAATATTACCATATATACCATGCAATATTAATGCATCATCAATGGAAAGACCATGGAAGGAGACAACCAATACACAAATGGCGCAAGGCAGAAAAAAGCAGGTGGAGCAAATGCTGCAGGAGGAAGAGGTCAAACCTTCTAACAGTCCTTGGTCCTCGCCAGTCATGCTTGTTCGGAAGAAAGATGGGTGAGTTTGTTTTGTGTGGAGGTCAACGGAGTGACACTGAAGATTACGTATCCCATCCCCAGGATTGAGGTCAACCTTGATGCCTTGAATTGAGTAGGGTGTTTCAGCACCCTTGATTTAGCCAGTGGTTACTGGCAGGTCAGTGTGGATCAAAATGACAGTGAGAAGACAGCCTTTAGGATGCAGAATGGCCTGTACCAATTTACAGTGATGCCATTTGGGCTTTGCAATGCCCCAGCAACTTTGGAACATTTGATGGAGCAGGTATTGAAAGGACTACAGTGGCAAGCTGCCGTGGTCTACTTGGATTATGTGATTGTATAGGGGAAAGGACTTTGAAGAGCACTATCAAAGACTGGCCAAGGTCTTGGAGAGATTTTGGGCTGTCGGCTTGAGGCTTATAAAAAGAAAGAAGTGGGTCGTGGGTCACCTGGCATCAGCCGAGGGGGTGAGGACAGGCCCATAGAAGGTTGCCATCATCAGGAAGTGGCCACACCCAGAAAACCTCACACAGGATTGCAGCTTCCTGGGGCTTGCGTCCTACTATTGGGGCTTCATTGTGAACTTCGCCGAGATTGCCTGCCATTTCATGCTCTTTCCAACAAGAGCCAGGTCTTTTACTGGTCAGACATCTGCCAGTCAGCTTTCGAGCACCTAAAAGATGCACTGGCGGCTATGGCCCCTGTGCCGTTATTTCCTGGACACCGACGCCAGCCACTGCACCATTGGAGCAGTGTTATCCCGAGGAGATGGGAGAGTGTATGATTGCCTACGAAAACTGCACCTTGTCCAAGGCTGAGTGCAACTACTGTACCACTAGGAAGGAGCTTCTAGCCGTGGTCCATATTGTCACCTACTTCAAGCACTACCTACTGGGGAAATGATTCTTACTCAGAGCAGACCATGGATCACTGTGCTGGCTATTCAGTTTCAGAGAACCTCATGGGCAGACTGCTCGGTGGATCCAGAAGTTGGGGTGCTATGAGTTCAACATTCACAGTGACTAAGCACATGAATGTTGACGCTCCAGAATCCTTTACGGCGAGTGTGGGCGGTCGAAGGAAAGGGACCAGGACTGCTACACTGGGGATACTCTCACACAGCAGGACCACGGGAAGTCATATGGCCATGGTGAATCATTCGTGGGGACGGTCGAGGACAGTAGTAATTGTGAAGTTACAAATTTAGACTGGCTCCTGGGCACCTGGGACCCAGAAGAGTTGAAACGGGAACAATGCAGTGATCCAAGGCTGTGTCAGACCATCAAGTGGCTGGAGGAGGAGGCCCCAAGACCCAGTTGGCCGGACGTCTCGGCACTGGATGAGAAGATAAATTTTGGTAGGCCAAGTGGAAGATGCTTCGGCTATCCAAGGGCATCTTGCAGATGAGGTGGAAGCATCCAGATGGTAGGCCACTGGTATGCAAGGTTGCGGTCCCCCGAGGGAAAGTACCTGACATCTTGAGGTTGGTGCATGACAATAGCATGTTGGGCCACTTGGGGATTGCCCGGACGGCGGATAGGCTGAGGCAGGCTCCCGTGTACTGGAAGGGGATGAGACGCCAGGCAGAAGAATGGCGCAAGAAGTGCCACAAGTGTGGAACCAAGAAACCTCCCCCACAACCCTTGAGGGTTCCTCTTCAGCAGTACCTGGTGGGGGCTCCTAGGGAACGCCTGGCCATCAACCTCACAGGCAGACTCCAAAGGAAAAGGACCAGGAATATGATCATAATGTTGGTGGCCGACTACTTCACCAAATGGGTAGAGACATTTCCTATTCCTGACCAGGCTGCTGAGACTGCTACCAAGGTGCTAGTTGAGAAGGTGATCAGCCGTTTCAGCACTCCCCAAGAAATCCACACAGATCAGGGGAAGGAGTTCACAGCCGGACTGTTCTGTGTCTGTAAGCTGCTTGGCATCCATAAAACTCGCACCACACCATTCCACCCTCGGTCAGATGGTATGGTGGAGCGCTTTTACTGCACAGTGAAGACAATGTTGAGCTTGTCCATCAGTGAGAATCGGGACGACTGGGATGAACATCTTCCTTTTGTCATGATGGCCTATCGCTTTTCCAGGCATGACAGCACAAAGCTTAGGCCCAACATGCTGATGCTTGGTTGGGAGGTGGGGCTCCCACTGTACACAGTGGTAGGCCAGCCCAAAGAGTCAATGGTGGGGGTTGAGGCACATGAATATGTCAGTGGGTTGAGAGAGAGGATGGAGCGTGCCCATGAGTTTGCCCATTGGCACTTACGGAAGGACCAAGAATACCAGAAGCATCAGTATGACCCAAGGGTCAGGTATGAACCAGTATGGTTGTACACCCTTCGAAGAAGATGGGTCATACACCCAAGCTGCAGTGTTGGTAGGACAACCCTTTTGTGGTGATAAAGATTAATTATGTTGTATACCAGATACAGAAGTCCCCTCGGGCCAAAGCCAAGGGGTCCACTTCAACCATCTGAAGCAATAACTTGGTGAGGTGGAGATGGACTGGTGGAGACGAGTACCGCAGAAGCCATTTGAGGAGGGGGAGCAACCCCTGCCTTCTGCTGAGCAAGATGCTCCGTTACCACCTAAGACAACCAAACCAACACAGGAAGATACTCTAGCAGAGAGGGAACTCAGTAGTCAAAGACAGCTCAACTGCAGCTTTGGAGAAACAGATGACAATGCCATCTGATACGCATTGGACGTCCCATCAGATCAGAGAAGTGTTGATGGACAGGAGTCCTGCACTAAGTCCAGTGGGACCATGGAGGACTCACCTTTGGTCCAGAGCAGGCCTACTCCCTCAGATCCAGCAGAACCCCTATCCCCAGAGTAACCTGGGCAGGGCAGCAGATAGTTAATTGGAGGCAGTATCGACTGGGCCGAACTGACTCTTTTTTCCCCCACCTGCAGGATGCCTCCCCCTCTCCAATGTGCACACACTGCAGGAAGACCTTTTCCAAGAGGAGCAACCTCCGCAGACATTTTTGCACAGCTTGTGTGGCACTCCATGCGGAGTGCCCACACCCCTGTGAGAAAGGCAGTGGACGAAGGTTTTATGGTGCGAATGTAAGGGCCTGGCACCACAAGTATTGTCAAGGGGCACTGGTGGAGATGGTCTGTATGGAAGACAACACTCTCAACATCCAGGCAGTGATGAAGACTTGGATGCCAACCAGGGGACCTGCAGCCATTCGGAGCAGGCCCCCATCCTCACATCATCAGGGGTGGAGAAACCTCCAGGCAAGGCACTCCAGATTCCTCTTCTTGCCGAAAGGGCTGCGAGTCTGCTGGCCCAGACACATTTACAAGGAAGTGACAAAATTTAGACCGGGACCACAAAGTACCTATGGAAACATGGCATGGGCAGAGGGCTCTTTCCTACCACGCAACCCCTTGGAAGCCCAGGTGTGCTGATAAGAGGACACCCAGACAGATCTCCCTGCACCTGTCACGCCCTGGAACGGGAGGCCTCTTGCACTGACCTTCTCTTTCTGGACAGAACTCAAGTGTCCCTGGATGCCACCAGAAGCCTCAAGTCACTGGTCCTGATGAAGGAAGCGTGCACCAATAAGGCGATTCGTCTGTGGGAGCACCTACGAGATGAGTAGAAGTTGGAAACCACGCATAGTGGGGTTGACACCGAGGGGCACCAGCTTTTGTGGACGCGTGTGGTCCGCAAAAATATGGTCCACATATACCCCAACTGTTCAGTAGTTTTATACTGCACTCCAGTTAGACTAACACCGCAAGATTGTGCATGCTATTGAAACTTCAACTTCCACAAGCCGTGAATTGACTTTCCTGTAAAATTTGGAAAAAAATACTTCTAATTCTAGTAATGCCATGCCAAGTGCAGACCTGCCACCTTTTAGAACCACAAAAGTGTATTCGGAGGTTCCAAAATGTGTATTTTTCAATAAAAATGTGTATTTTCCCAAACAAACAGTAAAGACAAGCAAGCTTACAAGTACCATTGTGTGACTACATACTATTTGAACTTTAATACTTACTCATGCAGGCTTAAATGGCCCTTATAATTTCCTGGTGTTGCTCACAGCAGTTGCTTTCTTGCATTTACGCAACAGTTCATTTTGGTGTGCATGTTGCTGCCATGGCCTGGCTGTGGCTTGGGTGTATATTTTGTTTGTAAGAGAGTCTGACAGGACTGCAGTGCTGTGGGTTGCTTTCTTTAATTCAGCGATGTTGTAGTGTTTACTGCTTTTGATGTGGCGAGATACATCATAACTCCCACTATGTGCAATACTGCAGTCACCGGTCATGCTATTTAGCGTCAACAAGCGTCAACGCATACAACTTAGTGTCAACAACTCGAAAGTACCCTCTAAAGATTTAAAAGTGGTTTTATCATAATTTAGAGACTCTAAGACCTGCCACTGTGTAAAAGAAACATCAAATTCGCTTCCAGATTCACGCAGAAAAACGAAACTGTTTCGTGATATATGGAGGCCGCCATCTTTCTTTACTCTACCGTCCACTTGAAAACAAGATGGCGACCGGTTGGGCTGCACGAGCAGGCCCGAATTGTCGCTCATATTTCCACACTCACATATAATTTTCGATAACGCGATACATTGAATATGGTATGTAAGAGCCTTACTAATATTGTTAATATAAAATATTTGCATAAAAATGCTTGAATATTTTGTTGACGCTTTTTTGATACTTGTTGACGCTAAATAGCATGACCTGAAGTCAGAACTACACAAAGTGGAGCGAGCGTAATGTTCACCTCTTTGGGAATGTAATATGAATTCAAATTTTTCCGTATATTCCCTTTTGAAAGATTGCTTCCATGTTTGGGTGTCTTTTTAGAAGTTAAAACCATCTTCATTCATGCAGTTTTACGATTACGTTGGGAAAATTGTTTGCATGCACACGAACGTACACTCCACAGTGCATGCCGATTGGTTTTGGTTTGCGACATTCTGATTGGTTGATACGTGCACTACCAGGGGCATGTGTACATCATGTACCCCAATCACGAACATTCTACTTTACGAGTTCGCGATATCGAACCACGTGATATGTGGCTTAGGCTTGCTCGCAGCCACTTAAGCTAGTTTAGCTTGGATTTCACACAGCGCCCTCTTTTTTCTTTCCGTGTCAAAATTATTGAAATCCATATTTTATGGTGATAAAAATGTACGGTTGTATTTTCATCAATTTTTCGCACAAAATATGCCGAAATTGTACTAGTTGGTAGGTCAGCAAGTAGAAAAATTCTGAATGCATTTTTCGAAAATCCCTAGTCACCCAAGGCATAATTGTCATCCCATCCATTGTTGTTACACAAGGCATCACTTTCACCCCATCCATCTTTGTAACCCAAGCATTACTGTCACCTCATTGATCCTGGTTACCCAAAGCATTACCGTCATCTAATCCATCTTTGTAATCTAAGGCATCACTCCTCTCGCAAAAGGCAGACGAAATAAAAATGATATGCCAACATGTTCCGTTGGTGTTCACAAATATGAATGAACATGAATATGTGCATGTAAGTATATACCACATGAAGATGTAAATACTTACTTTCCATGACATGGGGGGGGCTTCTGTTAGATGAATCAAGCGTGTGGCATGTTGAACAGATGAAGCTAGGGCCAAGGCTAAACCATAGCTCATTAAAGATTCTTCTGGATGTAGGTAGTCATTCCACAATGACGTCAAAATAGCCATGTCATACCAGCGTGCACATTCAGTGATCAATGGTAAAGTCTTGCAGTAAATAAAACAATGAAAAAAATGGATGTTAATAGCTTAAATTATGTTTACAAGAATACCACAATTTCTTTGTGTCTGATTGATGTGTTCTGCATTAACCACTTCCTGCCGGGGACTCAGGGATCGGAGACGTATGGTTTATATGGGTGGCCGGGGTCTCCGAACTCGGACAAAGGAAACAGGGCCCTGTAACAAAAGACCGTACTACAAACAAAAGACCAGGCTGCTGGGCATTACCGACATTTTTCACTCTCAAAAGTGGTGATAATCCAGCCTTGTTTTGAAACCGCATAACAGGGTTTGGGGCATTGAGAGTGAGTGGATTACCACCGGGGACAAAAGCGCTCCACCACAGCGATGAGCCACACAGAACCGCTGCATGCTAATCTGGCCCCTATTGAAAAGAGGTCAGCAGTGCACAAAGCCAGGCTCGTAAACAAAAGACAGTTATACAACATCGCACAATCCGGGCTCTGATTGCAAGGCTGCTGGCCTGGCTGAAATACTCGGGTGTCAATGAAGGTCACCTGTCAACTTAGAGTAGTGCCTAAAGATTACTTGGTGCGGCTATGAATGACCGTTAAATGAAATGATGAATTTTTGAAGGATTTTGAAAATGGAAAAAATGATAGTCATGCCGGCCCAGCATCATCAACATTGAAAAATGCCCCAGCATGAAGTGGTTAACACTGCATAACACATCAATCAGACTTAGTGCCACATTAAAGTAGAATGTGAGACAGTGGTGAAAATGTGAAGTTGCTTTTCAATTTAGCTTTCAAAAAGTTAAATAGGGTTCCCAGCATTTCATGAAGATAAATATTTATGTATTTCCCACGAGTTTCTTCTGATGACATTTCAAATTCAAGGATAATTATTCAACCTATTTTCAGTCTGAAATGTCTTTAATGTTGTTGAAGGTGTGTCAGACATAAGTACAGGAGACTGACCACTTTCTCATTTGGGCCAAAAGAACTCTGAGACCTTTCCTTGATTTGAGGCATTTTGTTCCACGTCTCTAACGTTTCCTTGACAGGAAAAAAGGAAACTCATTTTCCAGTTTGCAGCTCCCCCTTATTTCAAACATGATTAGGTACCCTGAACATAGTAAAGAGAGAATTTAAAATTGGCAGAAGATCCCTCAAAATCAGACATATGGCTATTTTTCGGTATATATTTGATTAAAGCATGCATTAGGAGCAGTGTTCTTAATTTTGATGTCTAATAATCTCAACTACCGCTATTTTGGTCATGCAGGTTCCTACTCATACTGCCAACCACTCTGAATAGCTCAAGCCTTAAATACTTTGAATAGCCCCACGTCTGAATTCACTTGAACAGCCCCCTGCTTTAGCTTTACAGATGCATGCAATTTATGTTCAAACAAAAGTTTGAGTTATTGTATTTTTAAATGTGTAGATCACAAACAAAATTCACTACATTCTTTGGTAACCTTCATTCCATAAAAGAATGAACTTCTTCACTTCTGACATTCCACTTTGAACATGTACATATTCAAGTATATTGTGCATGTTCTGAAAGGCTATTGGGACATGTGTATTAGACTGTTTTTGTAAATAATGCTACCTCAAACTTGAGTCCTAATTTTAAAACTAGAGACTTAACCTGGAAGAAAATACCTTGGGGCATTAAATAAATGTAAGAAAACATGTTTATATCAGACTTTGTAAAGGCAAATTAAGCAAACATATCTGCCTCCATTATATGTATTAACTTAACCCCAGAACTAAATGCACATTATGACGGAAATTTATGTGTGTTCACACACCATCCAGTGTCCAGTGGTTAAGAGAAGTTGTGATGCAACTTTCAAATTTTAAAGTATACAGACAGAACAAATCTTCAAGGTATGGAGAGGGTTGTAATGGGAAAAATCCCCGCAACAGTGTGGAAAAAGCCCTGTGGAGAATACATGCCCAACTAGCATCTACATGTACTTCGCAAATTTCCTAGGCTACATGAAGCCATTCACTGAAGTTTGATCAACTGTTGTTTAACCTCTATCTACCACAATGCACAGTGCCATGCTGCGTCTATCATCTCTCTTCTTTTTCATAGTGCACCATTCTCAGTCACATGTGTAACAAAAACTTGACATCTTATGATTGACATCCTTCATTGGTCTCTGAAAATGGCTCATATGTACAGTTAAACACGATTAACACGAGCACGCATGAGATGAAGATGGCGCTTAAGACGAGCATATTTCTTCAGTCCGTTCAAAATACACACATTCCTATGAGAGAAAACTTACTTAATATGAGCTATCTTGAGATGAGAACACGGACAAGACTAGCACTTTTGTCTAACCAGCACTGTCAAAAACCAATTGAAAAGCATCTTGGCAATTTGCACTGCGGTTTTGCCATCGATGACCTGGCGACTCTGTTCCTTGTGCCACTAGAGGGGGCTTTATTCTAGACGACAATAGGTGTGGCGAGGTTATGGCATCAAAGGACTTTTGATCACAGTGGGTCTGGTCTGAAAGAAATGTTTGTTTAAGCCGAACATTAACATTTATGGATGAACCTGACTTGAAAATAGATCTCCTCCCGCCAGTTACAAACCAACAGAAATTCCCCAATTTCAACGCCCTCTTACGTCCGGTCTTTATATGAACTAGTTCTCAAGTTAATTAAACCTTTACTTCCGTGCAACGTCGGGAACCAGTTTCCAAGGAGTGCTTTATTGGGCCACACCACGTGCACGCAGTGCTGGGCGGCCGGCCACTTACAACCCCTGTTCTTTGCTGTTGCGTCAAACAATTAGGCATATTCAAAATCATTGTTTTATTCATACGAATTATATTTATTAATATGATTTTAATATGATGTACATTGCTGTAGTGTACATGTATACCATTGCTTGCTGGTGCATGACGCCAGGCATGCACTCTATGAATGGGATAAGTGTCAACACGTATAACACGAGGTTTACCACAAGATGAGGTTTTTTGGAGAGTCCCTTCAAGCTCGTATTAAGTGTGTTTGACTGTATTTCCATCATACCATTAATATTAATCTACTGACCACAGTTAAAAAGATTTGCTAGAAAATAACTTTTGGTACAAAAAACTGTAGAACAATATTGAAGGCATAATGGAAATATACAGGGGTCATTTTCAGAGGCAACATGGGAGGATATCAGTAATAGGATTTCCTAATGGTTTTGGCCACACGTAACCAAAAATGGACTAAGTGCTTTTGTGTCAGAGCCATAGTGGGGAGATAGGCACTAATTTGGTAAGTACGTGTGTTGTCTGGTTGACTCCTCCAACACTCCTGTGTGGGAGTGAGTTCATATTTTCCATATGGCATCATGGGAAAGATGTCATCAGTGCGGTCCTGTTCAAGATCTGACCGCAAAATGCATTTCAGATAGCAGGAAGAGAAGGTGGAGGCGTGCTGCCTTGCAGATCTCAGAAACTGCCCTTGAAATAGGCCTCTCAAGGCGGGCAAAGCACTGACATAATAGATGTATGCTCATATCTTTTGTTAACCTATCCATCATAAGGAGATGGCCAGTCTGGGTTTGATGGTTGTGACTATCCAGGTGAATATGGTGTCCAATGCTGCTGATATTAGTCATTCCCAGACACAATTGGTATGTAGCTCCTTTGAGTTCTTTTGTTTGAGAAAGGAAACACTTGTGGGTCTTCACTGGGCAATGAGAGCTTGTCTGTGGAGGCCTCTGAGATTCCACGGTTGGAACAATGATGTCTGGGGGTCAAATGTGAGAGTATAGTTCTTTGTCAAAACCTATAGCAGGGACAAGGTGTATCCAACTGGGTTCCCAGCAAATTTGTCCATCCTCAGTGGATAAAGCTTGAAATTCACTCCCTCAACCTTGGGGGAAGGCAAGTTTCATGTTGATGTGCATGGCAAATGATGCTTTGCTGATGGGCTCAAATGGAGCTTCACCAAACAACTGGAGGTCACTCATGAGAAATTTGTTCCAGAGGGTTAGGTGTCTTTGACGGTCTTGTGGACAATTGCAGATCCACAAGACTGCTTTGGATTGTGCTCTGCAGCAACCCAAGTTAGTCTGTGTTTGGCTCTGCTGGCCACAGCTTCTCTGTGACTTGGCACTGTTAGAGGGTGTGGGAGTGGGGGGAGACTCCCCCATTGTCTCACATGTGCCACATCGAGAGAAGCAATTTCACAACTGGAGACTGATCACGAACCCAAGTGAATTAACACCCAACAGCACTGAGGAAATGGTGGAGCGTAAGCCGACAACTCCTGCCTACTTGGTATGTTCAGATAGCTCCCTGAGAGGGAATCCCTTTTCGATCCCTGAAAGGGAATCCCTTTTCCCTACATAGTGCTGAAGAATAAGTCACATGACACCCTGGATAAGAATATGGTGGGAATGTTGACTATACTGCCTGGGATTTTCTCTTGTTCAATGCCAACTAGCATACCCTGTCAAGAAAAAGGCAAGCTACGAGAGGGCAAGGCAAGTGCCCCCCCCAGTAGATGCAAAGACTTGACCTTTCAACAATATAATTGAAGGAAACACGATTGTACAAAATTAATGTGAAACTGAGAATGAGAATAAAGTGATCACACCAAAGGAATGTGGAAGGAATGTATAGTATTCCCATTGTGTTTACGGGTAGTGAAACCCTAATTATATTATTATTCTGCTAAATCTGGTTTAAGAAATGAGCGTGTTTCCGTATAAAAATCGAAATACGGGGGTATTTACAAGTGGGAAGGCGGTCTCTATCTGTCGGGTCAACCAGCTATTAAAAATGATCATGATCTTTCACCCTGCCTGGAAGACGATATCCGCGGTGGACATTGAGGTGTGGTACAGCCTACCATGGAATGAAGTATTCTCATTTAGTGGAACCTCATAAGAAATGTGCATTTGTAAATGGACATGTCCCCGTACTAAAATTGAAATATTTATAACGTGCTGGGAATCTCCGAGTGATCAGTCCAGAAGGCATCAAGTTCCACTGATAT